TATTCCCTCGTCCACATGGCAAAGACGTTACAAAAAGATATACGTGACAACCGGAGCATCCGTTGTGTATACGTCTTGTGTCTTGAATCTTGATGTTACCACTGACTTAGTTCCTATACTAATTTGATGAGATCCAATTAGATACGACATTAAACTAATAATGTTTGTGCGCACAAGGGAAAAATTACATATATAATACATTCCGAATTTTTTCAAATGAAAATATTATTATATATCATCTACTTCAGGTATTTTAGTTCGAATTTGTTTTTCGTCCTAACAAAGACGTAATCATTTTAAATACATCTAAACTAAAATGTTAGTTATGAGTTCTGCTTTTTGTTTTAACGGGTGTTTTAATATGATCAAATTTAATTAATATGATAACAGTTGCTATTTATCTATGTATTTTAAAGGAATACTGATATAGAAAAACTATTAAGATTTTGTGATTTTCTTCCATATATTTGTTTAAATATATATGCTTGGACATGTTCATAATGCATATTGAAATTTGTAAAAAATGCTGAGAATTAAGAGCATGATATGTGTAGATATTCATTAGGGTAGATTTTGTGATTTTCTTCCATATATTTGTTTCACATATATGGACATTTTCATAAAATACATGCATATTGATTTTTTTTTTTTAAAACTGAGATATGAAACCAATTAAGAGTGTATATATAACATATGTTCATTAGGGTAGATTTTGTGATTTTCTTCCATATCTTTGTTTACATATAGAGGGACATTTTCATAAAATACTATATTTCCATCTATTGTTTTTCCGAATGAAAAAAACAAAAAAAACATAACCACATGAGTGTTGTCTTACGTGTAAATATCTGCAACTCTATATATAAATAGATTGATGTTGTTCCTCATCTCAAAACTAAAAGCCAACCACACCAATCATAGTAATTAGACCAAAGTGAAGAGAGATGAACGGTGAAGGAAAGGTGGTCTGCGTCACCGGAGCTTCCGGTTACATAGCGTCTTGGATTGTTAAGCTTTTGCTCCTCCGTGGCTACACCGTCAGGGCCACCGTTCGAGACCCAAGTTTGTTTCTTCTTCTATCTTTTTTTTGTTTTTATCTATTTACATAGTTATCTTGTAGTCATATAGAGTCAGTTTCTCTTGTCATTTGAATAATTGGATCCATTTTATGCCAAGAGGTAGAAATTTGCATTCGAACTAAATCCTAATTAAACCCAAAATTTATTTAGTTGGACTCTCTCATGTATCAAAATTTAAGAACACCAAAACC